TATGTAAGCACCGCTAGTCTAATGGTTAGGATATCTGCCTTCCAAGCAGATGGTCCGGGTTCGATTCCCGGGCGGTGCACCTTTACTACTAACCCTGTTTTATCTCAACTTGTTTATTATGTGGTCTATACATTAAAACCTCGTAGAACTAGTGATGAACGTACATGTCCGACACACATATAGTGACATAGTGACACGTATATGTCACCAAACTGTCCGACACACTCCTTCCGGATACGATATCGTTTACAGTCTCATATGATGTACAAAACAACAACAAATACACAATCTCCCTTGGGAAGCCTTCCAGGCCAGGAAACTGCAGAACGACTCCGCACGCCCACGGGGTCGTGCCAATCGATCAGCACAGTGACACGTCGGACTTCCACGATCAACGCGTTCGCCCCCAACGACACCGCTATTCACCTCCAGGTCGTCCTTCTTAGCGATGAACCAGTGACAAACATCAATACCCCACTTCAGTTCACCTCATTCGCATCAGAGTTAGCAGAGGCCAGAGTGTCCTGAACCTCCACTGCATTTTTCTGCATCCACTTTCCATAATAAACATTGAGGATCGAATTCACTGGGACTATACAGGTCGTCAACAACGCCAAACGCCACGACATGAAGAACCTAAATTCGAACAAACTCCCATTGGAAAACCCAATAGGAACGCTACATGTATCCAGCCACGCCACAAATGCGAACAACCGCTTCAATGGAAAACCGAAACACCCATGAAAGATCGTTTGCCATCTGTCCTGAACGAGAACAACTACCAACACTTCCTCCCAGGACTAGCAGAGTCACCCGTATCGCTCGTAATTCTGCTCATTAGCTCCCCACTGTCATTGACGTCGAAGAAAGTGAGCGGTTGGCCGAGGAGACTGGCAAACAGATCTTGCTTCAAATCTCGGACGATCCGCTGCTGGACCAGGGAGAATAGGAAAACGCACCAGAAGTCCAGCAAGGCGTCGACGGTGCCGAAAATGATGAGGAGCACTGAGAAGTGATTAGATACAATTTACGGTATCATTATAAGCAAGGTAGGAATGGAAGAGTGATATTACTATATAAACAGTATGAACCAGACCGTTATGCCAAGTAGTATTTCCAATTTTGAGTAATATCAACATGATAACAATGTGAATCGATTGACACGGAGCTTTCCGTATTCTCGAATTGGCGAAAGCATCTCGAGAAATAGATATGCATAACTCTTCGGTTCGCACTGCAGACCAATGCCA